CCAGTTGTTGTTAATGGAGCCGGCTTCCTAAAATCCTTCTGGCTCCTGGATTGGACAGACTGACTTCCGAATTCCATATTGATTGGTCCTGCCCCCATCTGCCATTAAGCCCCACCCTCTGCTCATTACCAATGAAGTAGCCTCTGTTGGTAAATCAGGTTTTGCTATTTGACAGTTCAGTGACAGGGGGCGGGGCTTTATGGTGAGATGGGTGGAGTCTAATCCTGAAAGCAAATTGAGTCGCTGCGTGCAGGCCTTGGATGTAGGATCCTCCCGGCACAAAGGGAAGGCTTGGAAGACCGGTACAGGTACTTGACGGCACACCTGCACTTTACCAGTAACGGTGATGAGTTTTCATTCTGTAGATAGCAAAGGTAGGCGACCTCCGCTCCCAGCTGTGATGAAACTACAAATCCCATCATGCTTCTAGGAGTTGCGGCTGTCAGATTTGCAATGCCTCATGGGACTTGTAGTTCACGACAGCTGAGGTTGCCTCCCCCTGGTGTATAGTTTCTGTCTGGAGCTCAGCGGAGTTAAGTACTTGTGCTTAGCAAATCCTTTTAATAGCTGTATAGACTAAGCCAGGAGTAGGCAACCTTAGGCAATCTTAGGCAACCTTGACACTCCAGCTGTGGTGAAACTACAAACCCCATCTCTGCCTCCCTGGAGTCATGTCTGTGGCTGTCAGAGCCTTGCAATGCCTCATGGGACTTGTAGTTCCGCAACAGCTGGCATGCCGATGGTGCTTATCCCTACACCAGTGGTGGCGAACCTTGGCACTCCAGCTGTTTTGGAACTACAAGTCCCGTGAGGCATTGCAAGGCTCTGACAGCTACAGACATAACTCCCAGAGGCAGATGCATGTTGGGATTTGTAGTTTTGGCACAGCTGGAGTGCCAAGGTTCGCCACCACTGCCCTAGACCAGGGGTAGCCAAACTCCGGCCCTCCAGCTGTGGTGAAACTACAGATCCCGTGATGCATCTCTCTCCAGGAGTCATGTCTGTGGCTGTGAGAATATTGCAATGCCTCATGGGATTTGTAGTTCCACCACAGCTGGAGGGCCGGAGTTTGGCTACCCCTGCCCTAGACTGAGCCTTGCAGTTCCTCTGTCTACATTTCGGTGATGATATTAGTAGTAAGGTTGATGAATAGGATTTGTCTTGAAGCAAAGCTGACCTCTGATTGGTCTGACCCCGAGTGCTGTGCTGTAATTCCGAGTCATTAGGACGGTTCCCTTGGTGAGCGTTCGCTGTCCTTGTTAACCCCGAGCCGGATCCGATTCCTTGTATTAATAGGGGACCTTGGTGTCCATAGGGAAGGGAGCAGTCCTTGTGAATCACGCCTCTCGGGTGGCTCCCCGTGTGGAGTTCTGACAGATACAAGCTTTCTGTTGTGGAATTTTCAGCGCCTTTGTTCTTTATATCCAAATTGTGCCGTCGGGATCCTCCCATGTGAGCAGAAGCCGATCTTCACAGACTCCAGCAGCGATTTGCCTCAGGGGGGTGTTGTGTCTGACGGTCTCTCCGGGGCTCCCCGGCTGTCATTCCGAAGCGTCTCTGACACCTCTTCCGTCCGTATTTCATGAAATGGGGTAATTAGCGGAGTGGATGCCGGGTGGAGCTGTTCTGCAGCCGCATGGAAGACCGCCGATCGGCTTCTCAGGACCGTCTGCATTGTTTGTAATGTTTCTGCAGATGTTGAGCTATTCGGTGATCTCTCTGACACCCATTTACATGGTAACCTCTCGTTAGATTGGTGCAGATGATTTATTTTCCTGTGTTAGAGGTACAGAGATGAATCAGATCTGCAAACCAGAGAGCTGAGCTGCTCGTAATCTCATCAGGAGCCGGACGGGCGGGTGTGTCATTCATCTCCTCTGTACATACATGCTTCATATACGATGCTCTATGTTACATACAGCGCCCCCCCCCACACCCATTGCCACAGGGCTCCCCTCCTGCCCATTGCCACAGGGCTCCCCTCCTGCCCATTGCCACAGGGCTCCCCTCCTGCCCATTGCCACAGGGCTCCCCTCCTGCCCATTGCCACAGGGCTCCCCTCCTGCCCATTGCCACAGGGCTCCCCTCCTGCCCATTGCCACAGGGCTCCCCTCCTGCCCATTGCCACAGGGCTCCCCTCCTGCCCATTGCCACAGGGCTCCCCTCCTGCCCATTGCCACAGGGCTCCCCTCCTGCCCATTGCCACAGGGCTCCCCTCCTGCCCATTGCCACAGGGCTCCCCTCCTGCCCATTGCCACAGGGCTCCCCTCCTGCCCATTGCCACAGGGCTCCCCTCCTGCCCATTGCCACAGGGCTCCCCTCCTGCCCATTGCCACAGGGCTCCCCTCCTGCCCATTGCCACAGGGCTCCCCTCCTGCCCATTGCCACAGGGCTCCCCTCCTGCCCATTGCCACAGGGCTCCCCTCCTGCCCATTGCCACAGGGCTCCCCTCCTGCCCATTGCCACAGGGCTCCCCTCCTGCCCATTGCCACAGGGCTCCCCTCCTGCCCATTGCCACAGGGCTCCCCTCCTGCCCATTGCCACAGGGCTCCCCTCCTGCCCATTGCCACAGGGCTCCCCTCCTGCCCATTGCCACAGGGCTCCCCTCCTGCCCATTGCCACAGGGCTCCCCTCCTGCCCATTGCCACAGGGCTCCCCTCCTGCCCATTGCCACAGGGCTCCCCTCCTGCCCATTGCCACAGGGCTCCCCTCCTGCCCATTGCCACAGGGCTCCCCTCCTGCCCATTGCCACAGGGCTCCCCTCCTGCCCATTGCCACAGGGCTCCCCTCCTGCCCATTGCCACAGGGCTCCCCTCCTGCCCATTGCCACAGGGCTCCCCTCCTGCCCATTGCCACAGGGCTCCCCTCCTGCCCATTGCCACAGGGCTCCCCCCCTTCTGATTGCCACAGGCTATGTACAGCACAGTGATGTCTCTGCTACTATGCAAGGTAATATCTGAGTTTGCAAAGGCATTTTGGTGCACATGATGTGGATTTATATCCTTTGTGGCTAATTAGGAAAATATTTAGTTTTTGTAGTTTTTTCTTCCGGAGTTCAGCTTTATGGTAAAGCATTAAAGTGTATTCACAGCCTAAACTTTCTTGTTAAAACCCTCTTTAAGTTTTAATTCTTGCTGTCTGTCCCATTGGGGAGATTTCTCTTCACTTCCTGGCTTGGAGATGCAACAGGAAGTAGGAGGACATTGCTCCAAAATTCTCTTCTAGACTCCCAGTGTTCCCATTAGATTTCCCCTCACCTCATGTTCTGGTCACGGCTGTAAAATTTTGGATTTCTCATCACCTCCTGTCCTAGTGACCAGTACAAATGGAGAGGTGGGAATCTCGCACTCGGCAATAAGGAACCGGTACTCTGTAGTCGGGTTACAACGCTGTTACCCCATAGTTGCAGTGAGTGAGCGTTGTCACCCTGGGACAGGAAGTGTGTCACTGACGGGACCACCAGGTGGAAATGAAGGAAAAAGCCCCCAAAACAACAAATCTCACTGAGTGGATTAGGATTTCCCTTTCTGCTGCACTTGGCCTCTGCTCGCATCGTGTTCCAGGCCGGCGATGGGGTCGCCTCCACCCTGAATTGTCATCTGCGATGGTCGTCCGGCGTTTATTGTGCACCATGTTGGTCATGTGCAGTTCCACGTGGATCCTGCGTGATCAGACGGGTACAAATTATGTTTTTGTTTTGTGCGGCGGTGCCAGCGGGTGTGATGACAAGTCCGATATTCACATCCAGCGGTTGCCTAATACACCGACGTAGTTGAATGCCATTGTTCTGTGTTGTTGTAGAGGAGGGCAGGTTCCAACAACAGCTCCGGAGCCGTGTCATGTGTGAGCCGCGTTCTGTTGTCTGCTGACAGCGTACAAAAAACGAGTTATAAATGGAACTCTGCAGCCGTCTACTCCACGCTATTCGCTTGATTTTGTTGTGGCTGATAAACTGGCGAGAGTCTGACAGCGGTGGGTGAAAGAAAAGTTCTGTACTCAAAGCTGAACCTTAGGAGTCATATGACCGGTCTTGTCTCCGCCCCCTCCTGTAATAAAGACCGGTCACTGCTGCTCTCTCTCCTTGTGCAGGGTGACCAGTCTTGTCTCTGCCCCCTCCTGTAATAAAGACCGGTCACTACTGCGCTCTCTCTCCTTGTGCAGGGTGACTGGTCTTGTCTCCGCCCCCTCCTGAAATAAAGACCGGTCACTGCTGCTCTCTCTCCTTGTGCAGGGTGACTGGCCTAGTCTCCGCCCCCTCCTGTAATAAAGACCGGTCACTGCTGCTCTCTCTCCTTGTGCAGGGTGACTGGCCTAGTCTCCGCCCCCTCCTGTAATAAAGACCGGTCACTACTGCGCTCTCTCTCCTTGTGCAGGGTGACTGGTCTTGTCTCCGCCCCCTCCTGTAATAAAGACCGCTCGCTACTGCTCTCCTTGTGCAGGGTGACTGGTCTTGTCTCCGTCCCCTCCTGTAATAAAGATCGCTCACTGCTGCCCTCTCTCCTTGTTCTGAGTGACTGGTCTTTTCCGTTTTTAGTTCTTGCTTTCTGTCCCATTTGGGAAGATTTCTCTTCACTTCCAGGCTTGGAGATGCAACAGGAAGTAGGAGGAAAATTATCTTGTAGACTTCTTCCGTTCCCATTAGATTTCCCCCTCGCCTCCTGTTGTGGTCACAGCTGTAAAATTTTGGATTTCCCAACGCTTCCTGTCTCAGTGACAATGGTGACCAGTACAAATAGAGAGGGGGATCTCACAATCGGCAATAAGGAACCGGCACAGCACGTTTGTTTTCTATCTTTGCCCTTGGTATGTGCAGTTGGATTCGATCAAATGTGGTCTGAAAGATTTGTTGCTTTTTGCATTTATTTCCAAGGTTTGGTGTATGATAAATGTATCCATAGTTCTCCTCTCCATATTGTATGAAGATAAGACGTTAACATTGAAAGAAAACAAAGGCCACTTCCTATTAATAACTATGACACTCTCTCTTTCTTTCAGGACTGTCTGCAGAACTATGTACCTTTGGACCAGCGGCTTTACATTGCAGTGCCTCTCCCCTTCTTGCTGAATATTTAAATTAGACTTTTAATATCACACCAGCTGCTCAGCAGACACATGGTGAATTGCTGTCATTCCCAGGATTGCATCTTTGACGGCCAAGCCCTCCGCAAGCTTTTTTCAGACAAGCGAAGACCACGAGGAAGAAGTAGCCGCCCACGGATCCCCTGAACCCCCCCCCCCCCACTGCCTTTCCTCCTAGCGCGTGTCACATCGCCCCCTAGCCATGGAGCAGGGAATGGAATACTGGTTTGCCCAGATACAGCAGAAGGATGTAGGGAAAAGGCTTCAGGTGGGACCGGACCTGATAGAATGCCTGTCGGATAAACAGAAATCGATGGATCTAGAACAGGACCAGACTCTGCTGGATAAAATGGTGGATGCGCTGGCTACGTCCTGGGTGAATTCTAGCAATTACAAGGTAGGTGTCGAACGGGTTTTTATCGCTTGCTGTGTATCGCGAGCCAATGGGGTGTTATTTCTTATGGTTGGAAGTGTGAGGAGTTTGGTCTAAACCTTACTGAGGGATACCTGTACTGAGGATGTATGGAGGTCGCCATTTCTGGTCTTCATTTCTGATGATACTTGTTCTCTGGTTTGTCTTTCTGGTGCGTTTTTGGAACTTTTCGGCTGTACAGCTCTTCAAATGACGATCTGTGGTGTTGGTTTTCACGGTCTGAAACAAAAAATGTAATGCAGGTTAATTAAGCAATAAATATTGTGTAATATGTCGGAGTATTATTATAAGTCTGACCTGTCTGAAATAGTAGTGCCTGCAGGTCCATGTACTAGTCTTCAAATTAATCGTTATGTCATTGTGGATCCTGGGCCCAGGTTTTTTTTTTTTTTTTTTTAAGCTGACCTTTCCCCCTTTCACTAAAAATCACATCACCATGCAGCTCTGCATGCTGATTTTAGAACCTATTACATTCATTAGTTAAACAAACATGTTTTTCATTTACTTACAAGTAGTGTTTCCACTTCCTGGTCCACTTTGGTACAAAAGATGTAATGTGCCCAAGCGTTGCATCCTGGGAAGGTTACATCGGCAGAGCATTGCTGGGAAATCTCATCTGTAATCTCATGAGATCTCAGGGAAAGTCATTTTCCTTCCCCTGAGATGATGTGCATGGTCGCATGTGCCTAAAATCCAGGAAGTAAGAGGAGAGCTAATCATCTGCCCTTAGTAAACATGGCCACTGTCAGAAGACTGGGAAAGAAAAGAGAAATAAGGAATGCAAAGAATACAAAGCCGGCAATTATCTAGAAGTATCTTATTGTAGATTGTCATCACTAAACATTTCTAAAAGTGTGTTTGTCGTTATTTTAAAGTAATTGGGTAAAGTTTCTCTGTACGTTTTGGATAAGATGGGTTAAGGATTGGAATCCCTGTTG